GTACACTGCAGGATGTTGATAGGTAAGATGCAAAAGGGTTCTGTGATTAAATGCTTTGGAAATATGGAGTGATACACAGGCAGAATTCTTTACTTCAGGAGTTCTCAAATCTTTTAATATGTTCACATGCATTGTGAATTTACAAAGGCCATTAATCATGCAGTATTTCTCAAAATTATTTTAACCAGGAAATTCTTTTATGGGGGAAATACTGCTACATTCATTGCATTTTTTAGTGATCATTAGGATGTCCTCTTAGTACTCTGACATCACCAATAAGCACATTGAAACATCACAGTGAAGTTATTAGGATATGTTTCTACAAGTGGTATTTAATTCCACACGTTTTTTGTTTTTTTTCTTGAGCTGTATTCCCATATTTGGAAACACATCTTGTGGGGACCTAGAGTACACTTTATGTTCTCTTATGGGGACCTATTAATCCCCTTTCCAGCTCCTAACACTGTTACTGTAACCACTTGCTTATTATTGGGCTTACCCATTTGATTAGGAACTATCCAAGGCAGGAACTTGTCCTCTGACTGTTTTCAGTAACTTGAACAGTGTCTCACACACCCCAGGCACTCACATATTTTGTTTTTAAATGGAGTAATAGCCACTAAATTTCAAGTCAAGGCTGAATTTTGGTCTATGGCTAACATCCTCCAGTTAATCATAAGATTACTTACCTCTTAAATTTTATTATCATTGACTTCGGGATATTGTGTCCAGCATACATTTTGATTTGTGATATGTGATATCTTACATTAGACATACTGACAATATGAACTTGCTTGATGGAGGTGGAAGTAGGGAAGTGAGAAGAGGACACATGAGGATTGTGTGGGACAGGGGTGTGCTCACAGACATCCTGAGCAGCATGAGTGGTCGTCCACAGCTTCCCACCGGGTGAACATGGCTCATTCACAGACTATAATGAATAAGACTATTCCAAATGGATTTTGATAGACCCACTTAGGCCAGATTTACAACACTAAAATGATTTAATTTTTCCCAGCAGTTATAGTAGAGCCATTTTATTTTACCTAAACAAAAAATAATTTATTCAAATAAAAATTTAAAAATCAATATTTTAATATTTACGAAAGATGGTGTTAAAAAAGTAATATCAGGAACTAATTGCAATGGCTTCACCTAGCAACCTGGGAACTCTTCTTATTTAACTACTGTGATGGCACATTTTGTGTTGACACATTTTATGCGTTAACTTGACTGGGCTAAGGGATGCCCAGAGAGCTGATAAAATACTATTTCTGGGTATATCTGTGAGTGTGTATGAATCAGTAGACTGAGTAAAGAAGAGCACCCCCCACCCATGTGGGTGGACATCATCCACTCTGTTGAGGGCTGCAATAGATCAAAAAGGTGGAGGAAGGGTGGATTTGCTATCTCTGCTTGAGCTGGAAAATCCATCTTCTCCTGACTTTATTTTGGTCCTCCTGGTTCTCGGGCCTTTGGACTCAGACTCAGACTGAGATTTACACCATTGGTTCCCAGGCCTTTGTCCTAAGACTGGAACAGCATCACTGGCTTTTCTGTGCCTCCAACTTGTAGACAGCAGATGGTGAGGCTTTTCAGCCTCCACAATCAAGTGAGCCAATCTTTCATAATAAATCTCTTTCAACATATCTACATATAACTTATTGATTATGTTTCTCTGGAGAACCCTAATACAATTACAAATTCAACATTTGTGATTTCTGTACTGAGAATAGAACTAGGCTGAGGGCAAATTGGCAAGTCATTTCTCCTAACTACCCACATAAAAAATTCAAAACAGTACCAAAAAATGAGCTGTCTAAAAAAAAATCTGAGCCCAAGCCTATGTGTTAACTGCAAATATTCTAAAATATGTCACAATTTGAAGGCCTCCAGAATGAGAGATTAGTACCAAGTTTGTGAATTTATGTAAAGTGCAAGTAAATTGCATATTTCTAAACAAATGCTTGGGGGGGACATAACATCATATGGTTATTTGGTCAGAAGGAAGAACCTCCTATGTACCCACCTTATCTGCAAGGGATACATTCCAAGATTCCCAGTGGATGGCTCATTCTGGTCACTTAATTAACCTCACAAAAACACAAGCCAACATTATATGTCAATAAAGTTTTTGACCCTACTTACTATAGGTTTAAGTAGTGATGTTAGTGGTGTTTTACTGTATTTTCTCTCAATTCTTGACTAATGAATTTAGAAAGGCCTCTGAACAAGTTGGTCTACTGAAACAGTGAATGTAGGGAGAAAGATAGCCAAAAGAAAACTACATTCTTTAATATATAAATATATTATCTCAATGATATATTACAAGCTGAAGGCTTATAGTATAAAAACAAAACTTTTTTATTTGTTCTCACTTCTACTTCTGACTACCCATTCAATGAGTTGCTGAGAACCAATTGTTTCCTTAGAGATCTTTAATGTGAATATTACTGTGTGGTAGACAGGATATTTAAAATGTTTTTCCTCAAAATGTACCAGTTTTCTTTAACAAATTATATTTTGGGGGCCGGCCTGGTAGTGCACTGGAGAAGTGCGCCACTTGAGAGTGCAGCGGCGCTCCCGCCGAGGGTTCGGATCCCATGTGGAGACCGGTTCCCGCTCACTGGCTGAGCGCGGTGCGGGCGCAACACCGAGGGTTGCGATCCCATTGCCGGTCCCTGGTACGGGCGCGACACTGAGGGTTGCAATCCCGTTACCGGTCAGTAAAAAAGACAAAAAGGAAAAAACAAAAAACAAAAACAAACAAACAAACAAAAAAACAGCAAATTATATTTTGGGACTTTTCTATTTCATAGATAGCTTTTAATTTTAGAATGAAGTTACGTGATTCTCAACACTCTTTCCCATTGGATGGCTTCAGAAATTGATTAAACCTACTAACAGAGTGATTAAAATCCAGTATCAAATGATTTAAGAGCATGAAGCTAAAAGTGGATCTGAAAGGATAACCAACTAAATGCCAATAGCATCAAGATATTAAAGCAAAGGCTCAATAGGCTTTATGCACCTATTTTTAATATCCGATATTTATTCCCTATCAACAAGCCTTCCACCTATAAAGAAAATTGAGAATTATGTGTGTATGTGTAAGAGGGAAAGAGAGTGAAAGCAAAAAGAGACTGTATTAGTGTGTATGAGAGAAACTGCAGGAAAATATATAGATTTATCAGGATGCAGTCTCTCTCTATATTTTATTTTCAGAAATGTACATTCAAATCTCAGATTCTATCAGTGAACATAGCTGAAGAATATCAAAGTCATTTTGTGTTAAAATTACTTTTATTCAGGATGAAAAATACAACATGTAACCAGATTAGATGATAGTCTATGATTAGTTCTTTACCACATATTTCAAAAGAACTACATATTATTTCCCATTGTTGTTACTGCTATATATTTCTTTTTATTTATTATTACTTAGAAGATCACAATGTAGTGTTTTAGTAGCTTTTCCTTAATAGCAGATAGAAGACATTTTGCATACAAATACAGGCAAAGAAAATTAATACATGACTTTTCAAAGTAAGAACAAAAAAGACACCAAATCTACAACTTGGAGTTTAGAGTTCAGGGAATTTTTTTTCTTTAAATAGGTGCTTTCTTGGGCATGACATGGCCTGATAAAAGCTCTGGACTTTGCAGGCTGCAGTGGCATAAAGCTATTTCCAACACAATAAATGAAGATGGATCTGAGGTAGAAAGGTGGTCATGGCTTTCGCTTTTCTTATATAAAACAATTTTCTTCTCAAAATATCTATGCTGCAAATAGACACCCTTGCCCCCCAACCCACCCACCTGTTCTAAAAGAATAGCAATTTCTAACTTTAAGCCTCCTTCTGGCCAGATCCCAGTTAAAGAGAACCCAAAGTTAAAATGTCTTGACATATTAAAAGCACATAGGCATGAATCAAAACACATTATTTTCACTTTTTTTTTTTTTTTTGGTTTCTCTACATTTGGTAATTAAGTAACATGTTTAAACTGAATCAATTAAATGCTAAATCAGAAGCTGAACCAAATACCTAACTGAATGCACTCGAAGGTATAGGCAGAGGTACCAACCATCTAAACATTAATTTTATCCTTCTTTAGAAGCAGTGACATAGGCTTTTGATAAAACATCCTTCCCAAATATAGTGATAAATGAAAGGTAATAAAACATCTGTTCATTCACCCAAAAGGAAAAATGAGACATGCACCAAATTTGTGTCTGTTTTCAAAAAGAAAATAGGAGTTTCAAGAATTATAAAGGACTTGAAAATACAAAAACAATAAAATTCTCTTAAAAGGGAACTAAATGATGTGTTCTGTTATCACAATAGATAAAGGTCTGCTGTGTATTTAATGATGAAAATCAAGACCTGGGAACTAGGAAAGGTTGTACCAAGTTTTGTTTCTGTGTCAAAATGAAAATATGCTTAAATGGATGACCTTTGGTAAAAGGATCTTTGAAATTATTATAATGCAGCCTCCATTATCATATAGATTGGGACATAAAATAAATAAGAAACCAAGACCTACTTTTATAAAGAAGGGAATAAAATATAGGAAAAAACATCCCAATAGAAATGCCATTTAGGCCCACAGGATTTTTATTGTGGTTATCCAAGTGGTCACTGAAGAAGTAAGTGTATAATGTCACATGAAGTTAAACAGTATATACAAAGCTGTGGCCTCATCCATCCATATATAGAGATAATATTTGATTGAAATATATGGATTTATTAATTTGGCCAAATCACGGAAACAAATCCATGGAATCTATTTGGTCATATGGCTGATAAATTATAAATAACCAAAACATAAAAGAGTCAAAGAAACAGATGAAGCTATTGTACAAGGTTAATGTGAACAGCAGAAGGAATGTGAAAATGTAAAGTGGTGTTTGAATTCTCACATAATTTTTGTCATGGTTATTAAAAAGACGGTATCATATTAGAAAGCCCCCACCCACCTTCCCAATGCTGTATACACTATACAAATCAGTGTCAAATGTATCACCATTTCCAAATACCTCTCTGCTCATTAATTTACAGTTGCATAGAAAGGGAAGAAGAAAACAATAACATATGGTTATTATAAAAACAAAATATCCTTTTCTTTGGATAGTCAGTGTTTTACTCCTTCAGTAGAACACACAGTCAGCACTCAACAGCATATGTCAAGGAGCCATGGAGCTTCTGATTAAATGGAACTTGGAACTGGCAGTTGCTAAAAAGGGCAAGACTGTAGTCAAGAAATGTTGGTTGGCTGGACGAATACTTCACATTGCCTGCAGGGAGGGAAAACAGCACTGTCAGAACAACATTACATAAAACACGTCAGGGAGCAGAGACCTGTCAACTCTAAGAAACAGAAGTACTTCTTTCAGAACTAGTCAAACCTTATTTTGCTGTGTCCAAAGGGGACCCTGAACTCTCATGTGACTTTTGCTCCCTGCAATGAACTCCCTCCCTATCACCCTGAAGTTACCTAGCCTGGTTTTTGTTACTACAGTTGATTTGAAGGGAAGTCTGGAAGTCTTCTCTTGCCCAGGCTAGAAACCAACTTAAAATTGAGAGGAGTAAGCTTCCTTCTGCTAGAGGTACCAGTGTGAGTGAATCAGGCTGGAGCAAGCACCCTGTCTCATCCTGGGGAACTGTGGGAGGTGTCCTATTCAGAGGGTACCCTGACAGCTCAACCCATCTCAGTCCCCAGCTGGGGTGTTCAGAGAAGAGGAAGAGAAGACAGGAATCATAACTCAAGGGTGTGCAGTAGTGCCAGTTAAAGTTAAATGTCCCAGGCAAAAGAGGATATAAATCCAGGCCATACTCAGGGGAGTAGCATCGACCTTTTGAAGGGAAGGTCAAATGGTTGGATTTTTAAAAGTATTTTGAAGTTAGAAATAGTTTTAAAAATCACTCTAAACTGAAATCATCCAAACTGGGCCAATGCCACATAAGTCATCCAGGCCATACTCAGGGGAGTAGCATCGACCTTTTGAAGGGAAGGTCAAATGGTTGGATTTTAAAAAGTATTTTGAAGTTAGAAATAGTTTTAAAAATCACTCTAAACAGAAATCATCCAAACTGGGCCAATGCCACATAAGTCATGAGAGGCCTTTCAGGACACCCAGGAAAGACTCTCCATCTGTCCTTGCCCCTTATTTGATGGAGGGCTTTGGCTCGATGTCCCGCTTCCCAGAAACTGTGCTCCTAATTAAGTTTCTGGAAAAGCTGCCCAAGGGGTCCCTCCTCCTCCCAGGTATGGCAGAAGCAGCAAACTCATTTGACTCTTGCCCAGGGCCTGTTCTCCATTACTATTCAAATCTGGATTCTTCAGAAACTTGCTTCTATATTTTGAACATCCCACTGTCATGTCAGAGGGAGAAAACTTTCAGCAAACACTGATGGGGTGCCCCTGGATTCCAGGCATTGTGGTACTGAGGTGAGGCCCTCACGTGAAGCAGGTGTGAGAGATACCCCAACAATGCAGCCTCCTTCAATTCTATATGAGACAAGTGGGGACCATGGTAAATTCAAAGTACTTTGGGAAAAAGGGAAGGAGTGAGGTTAATTTTACCTGGGAAAGGAACATACTGTTACATATTAATATTGCTAACTAAAGCTCTGGTGCTGATTCCTGTTGAAAGTAAAGGCTAAGAGTATTTTTTAAATGATTTCTATGTACTCTATTAGCCACATGAAGCAAATGCGTCTATTAAATAGATACACAATAATTCTCATTTTAGGTGCCAGAATTCTAAAAATTTAAGATCACGCAATGTACATAGTAGCTTAACTATCCAGGTGAAAACACATTTTTCATGGATTTCCATTTGACCCAAGATCTGGAAAATGAGGAGAAAAGAAGGAAAATGCTGAAGGGGAAAGAAATGAAAAGAAAGAAACGGAGAAGGAAGGAGGAAAACGGGAAAGGGGTCTCCTGTACTGAGTCAGATTTTGTGCTGTCCACTAAGTTGCTGTATAACCAGGAACAAGTTAGCTCTTTTTAAACTCCACTTTTTTAAGTTTAAAAACAAAATAGAAGAAGGTCCCTAAGATCACTTTCTGCTTTAAATTCTGAACAGTTTGTCCTGTAAAATACTTGAGGATTGAAAAGAAGATTTTTCTCTCCCCTTCCTGGCCTCCATCACTCAGTCTCAACACCTCAGGACCATCAGGACTAAGTTCATCTTACCCTTTATCCTAGTTTTTAATGGGCCACCATAAAGTGCTTCAGACTCCCGGTCACCCTCCTTTCATTCCCTGTACTCTGTTCCATATAGAGATCTGACACTTCCTATTGTGTCACCATGTCCCACCCTCCCTAGTTTTTTTTTTCCTTTTTGTCTTT